AATGAAGGACTGTCCACTCATGCATCCTGCTATGGCACTGATCCCACTTGTTCTTCCAATCGCGCCCGGAGCACCACTCTCTTCCAGTTCTGCTGGCCACTCAGCAGCCATGCAGGGAGAATCGTCCTCCCTCCCTCTGCCTGGAATGGGCAGGGAGAATCATCCTCCCTCCCTCTGCCTGGAATGACCACCCGAGTGAGAAGAGAGTGGTGCTTCAGGCGTGATTGGAAGGATGAACAGGACTGGCGCCGAAGCAGGATGCAGGAATATTCGTATTCGTATATGACTATGAATATCCCACCTCTAGTTATGAATAAAGCCCATGACACACTGAACTTTCTTTCAATGGAACCTCTACAAATGTTTACCAAAACGAAGATGATTTTCTTTTTTTCTAAAAACATGCAAATCTTACAAATTTGTCAAATATCTTAGGCTAGTGGAATTTCATGGCTGTATGACAACATTAAAGAGATCCAGGCCCATGTGCCAATCAACCAGATTTTCAGAGCAAGCACTCATTTATAACCCTTTGTATAACTGTCAGCTATGGAGGTAGTACATCTGCACCAAGGTATGTCTGCCCCACTTGGTGCAGAATTTTCAAACTCAGAAAGCCTTTCTACATCACTGTGCCATCTGACAAGTATTACATGGTAGCCCATGAAACCCCTTGATATTATAAAAGATATTAGGGTACACTTTGGGGTGTGTTCATAGTTTGGTCATCATTGCGAGTTTTCTTACTGAGGAATTCCTGCTCTTATGAGTAGTGGTTTTAAATGGCCTGTTGTTTTTTTAGTAACTTGTCAAGGGGCTTGGGTCTTTTTATTGAGAGAAAGGCAGCACAGACTTATAGATAGAATGATAGATGGTTATAATTCACTAATTGAAGCCATTACTATTGTGAGGATGTGGATCTGCTGCCTCAGATTTCCATAATTTTTTTACCGACTTCAGTTGTGGACTTTAAAATATATATATATATATGTTGGACCAAATGCCTGAACACAACAGAGATTTCAGGATTCCTATATAAACCACAATCAGATTTTTCTTCTTGTTTTGGACTTGCAGCTGTGCTGTGGTCAAGCTGTCAGTTGGACTGGCCAAAGCAAAGGACGTTACAGTAATGTCAGTGTACAGGCAGTAATGTGCCAGGATCCATATAAGTACCTCGGCAGACCGATTTTATATTTATAGCAAATAAATAAGCTAATGCTGGGGGCATGTTTATTTGGAAATGAAAGAGGTAGAAGAATTTGAGTGGTTTTTTTTTTGTTATTGATATGTCCCACTAAATACAAAATCTCTGTCTACAGAATTTGTTCAGAGCAACTAGGTATAAACTGGATTAAACAAATGATGTTAATATATACATATACTTACTGTACTTCATGGAGAAGAAGGGAGAAAGTAAGATCATGCTTAAGAAATTCTAAATTACCATTTCCTTGCTTAGCAAATGTCACTAGTTTGTGAATAATCATTATTTTCTACATATTTTAAGCTAGTTTAATATTTCTGCTTTAAGTTGGAGAAATGCCCTTTGCCTCTCCTACAGTTATGGTATTGAACAGTAGTCTCCTCTCCCAAAAAATTGGCATCCTGTCTCTAGCCAAATGGCCAGGCCTTCTGCACCTAGTCCTTTTACGGATGTTGCATAAATCTGCCTGCCAAAGACAGCACATAGCTTAGTCCTCACATTCTCACAATAAATCTTGACGGATCTAACAGATTCTCTCAGTGTGTCCTGGGGAATCCCAGAGATGGCAGCTTAATTGGAATTCTTGCCTTGTCTGTAAATCAGTATGCATACCGAGTCTGTAAGGAACTGTTGTTGTTTAGTTGTGTCCGACTCTTCGTGACCCCATGAACCAGAGCACGGCAGGTCCATTATATGTTTGTTGGCACATAATTAGGAATAACTTTATATCTCTTGTCTTCTCTCTCTTTGCTTCCCATTTTCTGTCTCTCTATATTCCTTCTCCTCCCCCCTCCTCTTCCTTTCTCCCTTCCCCTGCTCTCTCTCATCCTTCATATCTCTTCCAGGGCACCTGAACTGATTGTATACATACAGCTTTTGAAATTAGGCCAAGAATTGTGGATTTTTTTTGCCACTGACACTTGTCCTTGTTGCTTTGTCATTGAATTGTCACTATTTAGCAAGCAAGTTCAGCTTCTAAGATATCTTTTTTGTTTTGCTTCATGTTCCCCCTAATTGAGAAGCTAACAGACACACATAAAAACAGCTCAAGCAAGGAAAGAAGAGTAAATAATGCTAGAACTTTGTTGACATCTCCAAACCACCAGCACCCTTTCTGTCAACACAACGGACAAACAGCTCCAGCTTCAAAGTGCTGTAAAGAAATTAGGCCAATTAGATTACATAGTTCAGAAGTTTACAGGATAATCCTTCAAAATATACAGTGTAATTATCAGAAAAATAAGACTGCTTTGTAGGAAATCATCCAACTAGTTAGGCATTTGTTATGGATGAATAGGCACTGAATATTCATTAGGTTATTATCAGGAGTAATAATTATTCAATAATATTCAAATTGCTATAGGGCTATCACAGTTAAATTGTTATTCCACTCTTCTAATTTAACCGCTTCCACACACCAAATGGAAATGAAAACCAATTTCAATTTCTTGGTCTATAATATATTGGTTTTAATATAATTCACAGTTTTTGAAACCAACACTGCTTGTACAGTCCTGATCCCCATATCCTAATTTCCTACAGTTCTTCCAGCTGTAATTATCTGAAAAAAATAATATATAGTGTAATTATTTGAAAAATAACATTATTTTTTAAGAAATCATCTGTCCCCGCCAAAAATTGGGTAACATACACAGTATACAAAAAAGTAAAGGGCAATGGGATTCCAGATAAGTTTGTATTCTGAAACACGATATAAAATTGTCAGAACCCACAATATTATATTATTGTGGGAACAGTGCCAGGTTGGTTACTTGCATTGCTTCACTCTTATATTAATTAGGAAATCAGATATTCTCCTGCTTTATTTTAACATTATTGAGAAAACATTATAGAAGAATTTATAATTGCTAGTGGAAAATGTCTCTGCTCCGTTTTGAGGAATCTTTTCCCTCAGCCCACCTCCCTGTGCTTTAGGGCCACCACTTTGAGCATGGTACCTCAAGCTCTGTAGGCTTCTGGGGCAGGAGGCAAATTACCTTCTGCTAGTCTTATTCTCCTTCTCTGGATCCAATCCCAAGAAATAGAAGGATAAGAAATAAAATCATATTGATTTACATTTATTATGAGAACACATATGTTGGTGTGGGGAGCCAACATTGAATTGAGTAATTCGTGGCTTGTTCTCATTAGTAATTAACATACGTGGGGAGCCAACATTGAATTGAGTAATTCATGGCTTGTTCCATTAGTAATTAACATAATCATAATGTATTTCTGGCACACTTCCTTCTCAAAATGTTAATTTACATTGCAACCATATTTTCAACTTCTCGTATTAAAAGAAAATCTTGTGGAGCAGAAGACTTGCAAACTATCTTGGAAGACAGCTAACTTTCTGTTTTCGAAACTGTATATCTGTCTTCTTTTCCAAATATGCTGCAGAAGCTAAGGGTGATAGTTTGCTTTTGTGTGTATTCTCTGCTTCTCTCTCAGCATGCTCACATGTGTGAGCACACATAGGGAGTGCTAAAAATTTTGGCATAATATGCTATGCTGCCCCACTGGGTAGGCAGATGTCAATTTTTATTTCGCAGACCACATTGAGAAAATTTGCATTTCTTTCCAGTTGTAAAATAAATATTTTAAATTTTAGATGCCACAATTTGGATTTTTCAGATTTACTGCCCTAATGCTAAATGGTTTTAGTGCATTTAATGTCAGAGCAATAAATCTGAAAACTCAAGGAACGTCTTAGAAACAAAGCAAACAGAGATACTCTACCAATTTCATTCAGCTGGATAATATGTTCTGTTTTTGATTGCAAGTATACCAATCAATGATCACATACATGTTGGTTTAAACGTGTGTTTGAATGGTTAGAGTGTCATGTGCTATGGGGTGCAGGTCACACCCAATAGTCTTCGAAAAAAGAACAAATAACACAAATCTATAGTATCACTGACATTCTTGAAAATCTGATATAATCCTGCAGATTTAAATCAATAGGCGAAGAACCTGACTTTGTTCCCATTTGCATGGAATGTCTCCTGAGCAGAGTTAAATGAAGGGCTGGTCCCTGCATGTGAGAGGTGGAATGGGGAGGCCCCTATAATCTCTCTATCAAAATCTGATCCAGAGGGGCATGGAATGTTCTGGAAAAGTTAGTATGGCTATGCGGAGGGGGAAATATACAACAAACAAACAAACAACCCCACCAAAACAAAAGCACATTCCCCTCTTTCCAAGGCTCCCTCTCAACAAATGCATTAGAATTCAAGCAATTGATTAGATCTGTAAGTCATACATGATCTCCAAAATTTGCCACTTAAATAAATCTCTGGGGGGAAAAATATTTTTCAGAAGCCATTCTAGCAAACTGATCTTCATGGTTCTGATATAAATATAGTATTAACTTCATCTTGGTAGACCTTATTAAGTCTAGGTACTCTTTTGCTTCAGATATGTTTGCTGACATATTTTAAAATATTTTCATAATTTTATGTGTTATTGTACCCTATACATTGTATATATACATTGTATATATTGTACTCTTGTTCTCGCTCTTAAGACTTTATGGGGGTAAACTACAATTTCCTGTTGGAGATGTAGTAAGATCCTTTTATTCTAGCAGTTTTTTTTAAGTGTACTGTGATTGAACTCATGGAGTGAATATTCTGCAAGACAACATTATTAATTTAAAACTTTGACTGGAGTTTTATGGACACACAGAAGTTAGCCACATGGAGTAAAGATGCATAGCTATGAAGTAACACTACATCATAGCTGTTGGAAAAAGACAGCATCTTGACTTTGTATCCAATTTTCTTTGTAGGTTCGGAAGCATGTGAATGATCTGTATGAAGACCTAAGAGATGGGCATAACTTGATTTCTCTTTTAGAAGTTCTCTCAGGAGACACCTTGGTGAGTTTTAAAATTTTTTGATCAATAGTCTTGGGCTTCAGGGTGTTAAGCAATATTGATTGTTCAGATTCTTTCTTAATACGTTGTTTCCAGTAAGTGGGAGAATCAAGAAAAAGTCAAGTTTCAGAACTGGGTAGAATCTGAGGATTCAGGATAATTGGATGATATTTTCATTCCTTCCCTCATTTAATTGTAAGACCCCTTTTCTGTAATGCACAAGTTTTCCCCATTTTCACTTGGGAAAAAAATCCAGCTGGTGTGGGATGCTAAGTATTCTTTATGCTTTAAGGTTATAATTTTATAAAAAGTAGGGGAGAAATGTGCCCACCTGTAATTGTCTAACACTCCCTGTGGTATCATTTCTTTTTGTTGTCAGCATTTCTACTTCCCTTGCTCAGCACTTGTTCCATTCATTAGATCCTTCTTCTGTTCGTATTCTTCTCTTCATTTGTGGTGTGTCTTGTTTCTTTGCTCTCCTATCTCCTTTTTGTTATGTTCATTAGCCAAGGGAGCGAGATTTTTTGAAGACCTTACGTTTGGTGAGTTCAACAGAAGCTTGCACGTTTGAACAGCATGAGGATGAGGAGGATGAGGATAAGGGGGTAGGTGCCGACCCCCATAACTCTACTACTATAGTAATTGATGTGTGGTGATCACTAACTTTAAAGTAAACTTGTAGTGTGGTGCTGTGTAATCCATTAGAAAGGATTGAGCATTGTGTGTTTGTGTGTGTGTGGATGAGTGTATACAGGGGAATGCCTTTAATGTAGAATATCACTTGGTAGTGCCAATGACTTTGGACAGTCCATTCAGACCTTCTGAAATGACTGGACAGTTGTAAAAAGGTTTTTGTGCAGCTCCCCCTCTGTTGTTTGTGGATTGTCCTTTTCTGTCAGTCCTTTTTTCAAATTGTAAGAATTTAAAATTATTTCAGATTGATTGATTTATCATTATCTTAAAGATAGACCATGCCACACATTTAGTAAAACCATTTCTAACATTCAGTCTTGGTTTGAATGTGGCAATGTAATTATACTAGATCACTTTGCAACCTGATCCAAATCACTATTAAGCTGGGGAAGTAGTGCTCCTTGCCATGGGGTGTCTATAATAATACGTTAAACAGATGGGGAGACAACAAATGAGAGGTGAAAGACAAGAATTTTGAGAGACAGATGTGAAAAATATGCAGTCACTTTGAGTTCAGCGGGTTTGTGGATTGGATAATTCATTGGCTAAAGATATACCATATTTTCACTAATAGAACATAGAGGCGGCTCATACATATTTGAGATAATTCATTGTTATTGTAGCAAGTAGTAAACAAGCATTTTAAATAATAACTTCTGTCTTTCAGATGGGAATTATCTGCTTAAAAACAAAAAGTATGGCAAGACAAGGGTTACTGATTTGTCCCAAACAGGTTGCTTCCTCCCTATAAAAATTGGCCAGGGGTGGGGTGGGGAAGCTCTGTAATACTAGAGCCACAAGACCTTTTGAGGTATCTTCTTTTCTTGAATGTACCAATTCATGTTGCTCAGCATTTGCACTTTTGAATTTTTTTGTATATTTTATGAAACATCAGAAAATTCCTGAAGACAATTTTGGCTTTAATATATAATAAAATTACTCTCCCTAAAATATATTGTACTTTTATTTGACAGTTACTGATGTTATTATTGTTATACTTCTCCTTGTTGTATTTCATGCCTTTCTGCATAGAGTGGCAATGTAATTATACGAAATGCATTCCAGCCATTTTCCAAATTTTCTCTGGGCATGTGTTTTCTATTCTTAAGCATTTTGCACACAGATGTCTGAAATATTAAGAGCGCAGTTGTGTACATGCTTCTCTGGGAATAAATTAACTTGAACCCATTGGAGCTTCTTTCTGAGAAGATGTGCAGAGTTGACATTGGTCTAATTGTTACATACAATAACTAACCAACTGTTCTGAAGGCACATTTGGATAGAGCCCTAAAAGCACTTGCTCAAGAATAATTTGCTAGAAGGAGTGCTGTGTTTGGTTGTGCTGCATTGGAGACTTCCTGTGATTTGTGAACTTGACTATACAGTATCCCCTACAGAGAGTTCATGTTATGAAGGCTTCTTGACTTGCAGGCGGGGTGCCGTGTCACTATAAGAAGGCAACCCTATGTCCCTCCGAAGGTTCTTGTACCCCCTTCAATGCAAAAAATTGTTCTGGAGGGTTAGAGGGAAGAGACTGTGTTGAAAGCTGGCAGTTGTCCTTCAGCGTCTGCCAGAAGGATTCTCTAGCAAACCAAAACCTTCCGTTTATAGAAGGAGCCCTTCAATTCACAGAAAGGACACCTAGGATCAAAACTACTAAATGGGGATGCTGTCATAACATTTCAGTTTGCTTGCACTTCCTTTTGCACAGCTGACTCTAAAACTCCCATTATGCCAATGGTGCCGAGGCTGCTTCAGTGCTGATTCTTCTGGAAGTCTGGCTGACATAAAGTTGCCTGGGTTTACTTCATCATTCAAGTGATTAGTGTGGCTTGGCTTTCTTTCATCACCATGTTTCAGTGCTGTGTTCCAAATATTTAGAGACAGGGATTTTATAGTTGGTACTAGTGGCTTGCCTCAACCATATGAAATGGATGTATTTATGTCATGATTATATTGATGTTTTGGGAGGGGGGGTAGGGATGTCTTCATTGACAGCCATCCTTGCACTATTGCTGAAGCCTTAGAACCCTGACACAGACACAACCCTGCACCCAAAAATTTGGCTCAGAGCAAGAAGGGGCAGCAGGAATCACATTCCATTTACATTTTCCACAATGCCCTGCATAATATTTCTCCAAGGCATTGAGAGAGATGAAAATGTGAGCTGCATCCACCTTCTTGGTGGTGTGTGAAGTGTTATTGGTGCCTGGTCCTTTTCAGGTAAGTTCAGAACAGAAAGGCTTATTAGCAGAGAAGGAAGCACACCGTAAGGCCTGTTGCTGAGGACTACCTTGACTATGTGAACAATGATGGACAAACCCATAATCATGTGGGAAATCCAAATCATGTTCCTTTTTACCAGGCATGTGTCTGGCTGGGCCAGTGAACGGTTTCTCAGTCTGAAGGTGCTAGAGACTCACCTTTCTTCCTTGCTCAGTGTACATGTGTGTGTATAAACAGGCAGGTGTGTGGTCCAAATTATTCTCTTCCACTGCACTGAGATTTCTTGGGGAATAGGGCTCAGTGCCAAAGCTCAACTGGAAAGGAGGGTTGCTAGATGCTTTTTCTTACTGAGAGCACATGAAAAACAATCAGCTTCTCTAGTTGGCTTGAGGATATAAAAGGCAGCCGTAGCTCAATGCTCAGTTGTGTTTTGAAAAGGAAAGAAAGAGGAGCATGTGGAGTCTCGCAGCTGTATGAGCAAATGAGCCATTTTGTTTTTTGGCTGACTTTAGAGACATGTCTCAGAAAATAATTCATTGCTGAGCTGTAGACGTTCTTATGTTGTATCATGCTGCTATCCATTCTGATGAAAGTTTGTGAAAAATCTGAAGCCAGGAAGAAAGACATCAATATTTTGTATTATACAGTCACATAAATGTAACTCCTCCCTCCAGCTATTTTCTGATGGCTAAATGGACAATGTAATGTCTGTATACTTCTTCCTTCTTATGATTTTACACTAACTGCATGTAGTTTTGCCATTTTTACTGAGTATAATTTGTTTTGCTTAATAGCTTGTTGAGCTGTCTTCATCTTCCTTAGCTTTCTGCATGTTGTGTTCCATAAGCAGTTCTGCAAAAAAATAAAAATAAAAAATGTGGAATTGTTTGGTAAAGCTTGAAATTCTACAAGTGTGAAATATATGGGGATTGGATTTCGGGGTTTATTTCAATGTGTGCTTACCTCTACTGCGTTTGGAATAATTTATATAGTTGAATACATGTAGAAAATAACAGTTCATTCCTAATGGGTCACCTGTATAGATTTTTCAGAAAGTTGATAGAAAAGGAATTTGTGGGAATGTACTGTAGTGTCTTGATCAAAGATCTTCCTTGAAAAATCCAAGTGCTTTTCTAATACTGGTGTATCATATTCCACATGTATGTTTTTTTTAAAAATGGTCCTGTTAGTCATTTCATGTATCATGTATATATTCCAGAAAATGAAAAGAAAAAGAGAAAAATTGGATATGTGACCAATATGGACCATACTAGTACAGTTATCATAGGCCATGTTTAGTTGCATCTCCCTGAGTATACAGTATTTTCCGAAAATTAGCTTTTCACTGGCTAATAGTGAAATACCGTGCTTCCCCGAAAATAAGACAGGGTCTTATATCAATTTTTGCTCCAAAAACACATTAGGGCTTATTTTCAGGGGATGTTTTATTTTTTAAAGTACAACAATCTACATTTATTCAGATACAGTCATCTGATCTTCTTCTGGTTGCTGCACAAGTCCCTGGTGGAGGGTGGGGTTTCACTTAACTGGTGCTTATTTTTGGGGTAGGGCTTACTGTATATTGCGAGCATCCTGAAAAATTATACAGTACTAGGTCTTATTTTAAGGCTAGGTCTTATTTTCTGGGAAACAGGGTATGTGTTACAGCCTGCACTTGGCATTATTTCCTTGAGTAAAATGAATAAGCGGATACATTCTGCCTGGCACTAGTTTTTGGCAGAATGTACAGTAGCCAAAAATATGTGCTTGGTATGTTTTTATGTATCCTAGCAAGCACTACTATTCTTTAACTTCCATTTAGTTCAGTGTGTGAGAAGGCTCAATGTAGTTACTGGAGACTTTAAAGCAGAAGCACTTGAACATATCACAAAGTATGTCATTCACAGATGTGGGTATGACAACTAAAGCCAGCTGATTTTATTTTTCAATCATCTTGAAGCATCCTGCATTGCTGACCCTCTAAAATAGTTCATGTTGCAGCCTTGAAAGCATTTTGAGGAGGAGCTATTTAGAAGAAGGTTCTCAAGGGTCAGGCTGCAGTTTGTCTAAACAGCTGAAATTAAAGTTAACAGATCCTTATAATCAGGTGATTAATTAAGTCAGGTGAGCTGATTCTAGGGAATAGTGTTGATGTGCTTGTAAACTCTGTGGACATAACATATCTGGATCGTAGTTTGTGTTTAAAATGCTAATGGGACCCATGAGCCAGCAAATGAGAAACACTTTTAACTCTTTCGATTTTGGCGGGAGAGATGTGGTACACATCTAACTCTTCCAGTTCAAAGGAACTCAATGGACTTCATTTTGTGCTCCCAGTTAGAACGCATCTGCTCAACAAGGTGAGTTTTAGGGTTATATATAGGGTCACATTGTGAGTATTTAATCTATCCAACGGTGAGAAAGTGCAGCCCTATAGCTACATGCCTACTCCAGGGGTATTTTGTAGCCCCAAATCCTCCTATGACCTTGTAAGTTTCCAGCAACAGGGGGAAAACGTTTACTGCACCTTCTGGAAGCTTCCAGGAACAATGATTTGCTTTTTGAGCGGGCCATCCCACTTAACATACCCAAATTCCTCTCATAAACAAACCCCACAATTGGGAGATATGCAGTTCTAGTTTATTTTTTTGCAGGTCATGTTATGGTACTTTTGGAGTCCCAACTACCGGAGGGTCTTGGGGGAGGAAAATTGGCCCCTAGCCCACCGGGTACAATCCTTGTCCTTTACCTGCCATAACAAACAAGTAGAGTAGAATGTTCAGTCCTTTATCACATGGCCTGGTTCTAAATTAGCTCCTCTGTGTAATCCCCACTCTGCTGAATCAAAGCTGAACGAGGTCCTAACAAGCCTACAGTATTAAACTGACACGTTTTAGATTGCTTGTGGTGCAATTAACCTCAAGTTGAAATGGATGTATTAAAAATACACGCAATATTTATGAATAAAACTTACTGAAAGGACATAATTGTCTGTTTAAATCAACTTTTATGTGAGCTCTTTCTAGCTTTGATGCACTTGAGATAATGTTTTATATCCCAGTGAACCAAAGAAAGAAAGAATACAATAGGACAAAAAAGAGTTTCTGTAAAATTTAAACCACAGTTGCTTTACTCCAGAGCTATTAGGGTTCATATGAAACTTCTTTGTTTTTCTCCTTCATTTGTGGGTGTTTGGAGACATTTAAAATAGGATTTGAAAGGATATTTCTTGCTTTGTAATTAGTATATGTTGTATAGGAAGCCTCACACTGTTCATTTTCTGTTCTTAGCCCAGAGAGAAAGGTCGGATGCGTTTCCACAGACTACAGAATGTACAAATTGCACTTGATTATTTGAAAAGACGACAGGTAAGCTAATATGTTTAAGAAGCAAAGTTAAAACTTATTGGCTGAAATCGTGTTACTGTAATTTGTACTGTATAAGGCTGGTGATGCCATGATCAGTGGTGATTTTTCAGAAATTAAACATTTCTGATTTCTGTCAAAAAGCTCCTGAGGTTCCTCTGTAATCCCTTGCATCTTCAGGAATCTGTGTAAGCTGCAGGATAGGGAAGTTGTTCATTAATGAAAAGTGGTGCTGCTGGGATTACTTTACTGGGATGGCATTATCTAAAAGATTGTACCAACCGTGGCAGTTTTTATTATTAAAGATTTCCCCTTCTCGTCTCACAGCTTGCATGGGTTCCTAATGATGAAAGGGGTTGCACTGAAGCCGTGGGAGCCTTGGGACAGAATGTGGAAAATTTTAATTTCTGAAGCATTGTTGCTGCTGCTGATGTCATGGGGCTTATGCTTCCATCACTCTTCTATTTTCCTACATTATTCATCCCCTACAGTTGGAAGATGCACACATTTGCACTTATGGTTCCAAGTGTTCTCTCATGACAAAGCAGGAGAAATCAATATTGTGAACATTTTAATATTGTAAGTCCCCTTAAGGAAGGAGAAGAATCGTATGGGAGCACCCCAACCATACTGAAAACAATACCGGAATCTTAAATCCTTTATTATACAACCTAGGAATAAATCTCACTGAACTCAGTAGCTTGTACTTCTGAGCAGATATGAATAAGATTGTACTGTTAGCATACCGTTGTCCCTCAAACATAGAGGCAGACAAGGGAGTTGTGCTAGTGCATAACTCCCATCTGTGCCAGAACAAGGCTGCAGATGAGTTTATTAGACATTCACTTCACCTGTGTCCCTTTGGACATGAATCCTACCAGCTGTGCTCCAGGTAGCTCTGATTACAGTTCACAGAAGAGGACCAGAACTAGATAGCAGGAATGGGCCAGCAGTGTGAACTGCCCTGGAAGTATTTGGTGAAGACTGAGTTTCAGACATCAAGTTATACACTCACGAAGTGGGTCCCCCCCCCAGGAAAGTGCCCTTTAGCAGTTGGCTTGGGGAAACCCAGTCATCACCAAACCTGGAGGGACTGTAGAGGAGAGTCTGTGATTTTGGAGTCTCTAGGTGCCTTGGGGGGGGGAGCTTTCCTGGGAGGCTAGAGGAGAGTCAATAGAAGCTTCTCTGTGAGTTTGGAGTCTCTAGGTGCCTTGGGGGGGAGCTTTCCTGGGAGGCCTCTCTTTGTGGGTGTATAACTCAGATACCTGAAACCCAAACTTCACCAAACTTGCAGGGCTTGTTGAGGAGAGTCAGGGGAAGATTCCCTGCAGTTTTGGTGCATCAGTGTATCCATATTCCCCCAACCCTCTGTCAGCCATGCTTCCCACTTTCTCCATTCTGCTGACCACTGTGTAAAGTGTAGGGATGAAATGTGGGAAGTACAGACTATAAGTGAGTCTAATACTCTAAGAACTGCTGAATCTTTTATATCACAAGTGCCACTACTATGGTGATAAACTAAAAGGAAGCCTACCATACGTTGCAGTAAAATGCAAGCACTCAAGTTCCATTGATTTCAGTGAGAACACTTTAGGAAGTTCTTTGCTCCCTAAACTTGGGTAGATCACTTCATTTATGAGCAAAGCCTGAGTATTAAACTCCTATTATATATCAAAATAGTACACTGTATAGTAGTATACATAGTGTTTGCATTCCCCCCCCACTATCTCCCCTAGTTTATTGTTAGAGAGGCTGTTTTATTTTATATAGGATACCTGCAGTGCCACCTTCTGGTGTTTGTCATAATAATAACTGTGTATATTCTGTTTTTTGTTTTTCTTTTCCACATGCACAGCCTTTTTGGTACATGTCAAATACTTTTTCAGGGTATTCTGATAGTTACATTTCCATAATGATTTACAGATTAAGGTGAATAAATGAAATACATTAAGATCTTCTCTTTCCCAGATGAAGCATATTATTTATATAATATTTATATAGCACTGTTGAACTAATTTCCCAGGGACACTGATTCTATAGTTTACAGTATATTTGAAATTTAAAAATACTGTATGTTCTCATTTAACCAGTCAAAGGAAGAAATAGTAGACATAATGCCCACAAACAGTACCCACAAACATAAACCCACAAACCCACTGTTCTTTTTTGTGGTCTCTGTGAATGCACACAAATGGGTTGTTCTGCGCCTGTGCAGGATGTTTCAGAAGTTTCTAGAGCTTAAAAAACATTTAACATTGAGCCCCCCGCCCCTTGGAGCACAAGCTCCTCTCTCCAAACATCCCCTCAGTTCCTTTTTTCCGCCGCATTGGTAGGATGTATAGGAACACCTAGAGTGAGAAAAGCGAGTATTTCGATAGAATTATCCAAATTATCTTTTTGATTATGGTAGATTTACAGATTAATAATTATAATTTACTTCCCATTGGAATTAGCATTTTTACCCTCATACAATAGTTTTTGCCTTCCCGTGTTTTTCTTCTCCCCCTTCCCTCAAACGCCGGTTTCCCTTTCTCTCCCGTTTTTATGGCCCCTCCAGGACCATTTAAGTGGTGCGCCATTTGCCAAAATAAAATACAGCTCACTGACAGGCACAATAAATGCCTATTTTGTTTGGGAGAGCAACACCAAACCCAATTGTGCCCTGAGTACAAAAAATTGACTAAACTGGCAATCAAACTAACATTACAACACTTCAGGTCTTACCTCTGGGAGCGATCCCTCAATCCAGCTATGGAAGCGGTATCCTCACCAACAGCTAAAGAACCATCTTGAGCAGATTCAGTTCCATTTCAAGCCCGACAGCTTGCTTGATATCAAGCCCGACATCGGTCCCAGGCAGACAGAAGGAATCCTAAAAGTCTTCGAAGTCTAGCTTGACTTCCACCTCTAGAGCTCAGACTCATCCCGATGATCCTGCGGAAAAAAAAGATAAAATCAAAGAAAACATCCAAATCAACTACTATTGAACCTCCACATGCCATGCTTCCCTCACCGATATTAGAGGAATCATCTAGAGAGGCACCTGTCTTCTATCTGACAGGGATGAACAAACCTTGACATCGGCACAAGCTGTGCCGTCAATAGCTAGCTTATTGCCTAGCACAGGCCAATCACAGGCTGAGGTACAATCCAGCCTGGCCTTGGCCCATTCAAGCCCTCAATGATCAGGGCGGGCATTGATTATCCAGCCATTGGGTTCAGAATCATCTTGACATTCCCCACGGAAACACAAGGAGAAATGACGACACATTTCTCCAGTTCAACATGTATCTCAACATGGAGAACAATGCTATTATGCGGAACCACACCATTATGCGGAACCACACCCAGGCCTGATTATATGTACAGGCAGCACTATTATTAAGACCCATACTACCCGAAAATGCATCAAGAACAAATTTATTACGACAAGCTCAGGCGAGTTTGATACGCTTCTCCTTCATGGTACTCACATGTAGATCGCCATCTCCAATGCGACATTGACACCAAGCTGATGTGACCCATCATCCAATTAGGCTAGCACTTAAAGATCTGCGGTACCAGAAACTATGGTACCAGCAAAGAAATCTAAACAATCAAAAAGACATACTTCTCTGCATGTTTCCACAACCTATACTAGACCATCTCCACAAGACACTAAAATACACTCAGTACCGATACGTCCAACCCATGATCCATTACCACAAACATCTGTTGGCAGGACACATCGTTCTCCATCACTATCATCCACAACATCCCAAGATTTGGTCTCCACAACATCTCAAGAGTCACCGTCAAACCTTCCCACCCCGCCACCTTCAGAGGATTTCACCGCTGACTCACAGCTAATCCTCAGAATGACCAAATCACTACAATTGGACATACAAGAACCATCTACAGAGAAAAGGGACTTGGTCTTCGATGACTTAAACCAAGACAAGACCCCACCATTAAGCCTAAGTTTCATACCAGCCATGTATGAACTCATCAAGGAGTCATGGGACAAATCCCCCCATCTTTGCAAATTCCATGTCATGTCAAAAACCATTATAAGACACATGGGTCAGACACAGCATTCTTACTTAAACGCCCGATGCCGAATTCCATTATTGTAGAATCGACACAATGTAGAGCCCGGAAAAAGTCCTCCATGGCACCGACCAATAGAGAGGGCCGTAAACTGGACATCTTAGGTAGAAGGCTTTATTCCCTCACATCATTTCTAATGAGGGTAGCAAACTACCAGGCAGCCATGGTAGCCATCAAACCATTCAATCCCCTAACATCAGTATCGGCATATCAAGCCCAACATCTCCTTGGGCTCATGGCATCCATCACAGCTGTTATTCAACATGCACGACTCAAGATGAGATTCCTACAGGCGTGATTCCTCTCATTATTCGACCCCATGGTAGATCCTCAATTGAAACATCTTACAGTGACACCAGAACTTGCCAGCCAACTAAGCTAGTGGACCTTTCTCGCACATTTGACAGTCAGCAGATCGTTCCAGACTCTACAATCATCCATGCAGGTGACTACCAATGCCAGCCTGTCGGGATGGAGAGCTCACTGTTGACAACATACAATACACGGGCCTGTGGACAAAATAAGAAAAATTATTACATATCAACCACTTAGAAATAATAGCAGTCATAAAGGCTTTCCACACCTTTTAACCACTCATTGCAGGATGAGTAGTGCAATTACTCACATACAATGTATTATGTGAACAAACAAGGAGGTACCCACTCTCTGCCACTTCTTTACCTCACTATAGACTTACGGGAATGGTGTTACCTCCACCACATCTTTTCAGTGGCTGTCCACATTTCAACAGAGGAGAATTACATTGTGGACCACGTCAGCCAACTCCGTACATGGACACACAAATGGGTGCTGCACGATCACACCTTCGATGCCATCTGCCATCAATGGGGACACCCGTCCATCGATCTCTTCACATCAAGACAAAACACCAAATGTCAAAGGTACTGCTCTTGAGCTGGCAATGCCTTTATGATAGACTGGACTGGAGAACTACTATACCTGTTCCCTCCAATCCTTCTGACCCAGAGATCTGTCATTTGGGTTTGTCAATTCAGTGCCGATGCGATACTCATAGCTCCGTGGTGGCCATGACAACTGTGGTTCACCCACCTGAGGCTGATGTTAACGGACATAATCCACCTGCTGTCTGTACCCAACCTCCTGTCTCAGAGCAATGGAGTGATTTTACATCCCGACATCGAATCTCTGAATCTGACAGCTTGGAGGATGCCCCAGCATTCTGAACCATCTTAGACCGAGCTATAAAGCCTTCTACCCAAAGGCTTTATCAAAACAAATGGAAATCTTTCCTATCTTTTACTGAATCCCAAGGATTGATTGCAGCTCCAACCTCTCTCTCTCAAAAAAAAAAAAAAACAAATGGAAATCTTTCCTATCTTTTACCGAATCCCAAGGTTTGATTGCAGCTCCAACCTCTCTCTCTCTCTCTCAAAAAAAAATACTTACCTTCATTCTACATCTCTTTGATCTAGGACTTTCACACTCAACCTTGAAAGTCTACATATCAGCTGTTGTGGTCCATCAACCTCCACATGCACAATCAGCGAAACTTTTTTCACAACCAACTTTGAAAAGATTTCTTAAAGGAGTCAAAAATATTCGACCCCCAAGACAACAAATCGTACCCCATAGGTCACTACAATTAGTCCTAAATTCCCTCACCAAACCACCTTTCAAACCAATGGCTACCTGTAATGAGAAATTATTGTCCCTGAAGGCAGCTTTTTTGGTGGCAATAACATCTGCCAAGAGGGCCAGCGAATTAGCCGCCCTTCGATCAGACCCACCATACCTGAAATTCCATCCAGATAAGGTTACCATGTATTTTGACGTATCATTCCTGCCTAAAATTGTCTCTGATCTTCACATGAATCAACCTTTGATTTTACCAACTTTATTCCCTTCTCCTTCTACACCCATCGAGCACATGCGCCACATGCTGGACATCCGAAGGGCTCTAGCCTTTTATGTCAACAGGACATGGACATTCAGGAAGTCTCCAAGGTTCTTCCTTTGCTTCCAAGGTCCTCATAAGGGTGCTCCAGTATCATATCAGACCATCTCTTGTTGGATAGTCCAGACTATCTCACTGACCTATGAACTTTCAGGCAAATCACCACCTGAACATTTGAAAGCTCATTCCACTAGAGCGTTCTCAACATCCACTGCTCTTCACCATGGAATTGAATTACCAAACATCTGCTGAGCAGCAACATGGTCCAATCTTTTGACCTTTGCCAAGCATTATTGCCTCAATGTCAGGGCAAAAATAATGCTGCATTCGGCAGGGTGATCCTGACATCTCTGCTACCATGATGTCCCACCATCTGCTAAGTGAGCATTCACAGAGGCCACGAAGAAGAAAGAGAGGTTACCTACCTGTAACCATGGTTCTTCTAGTAGTCCTCTGTGAATTCACACATCCCTCCCTTCCTCCCCTCTGTTTGTCACATTGTCTTTACTATACAGTACTACCTTGACAGCGGCAGACTTTTGGAACTGAGAGGATGCTCAGAGGGCGGAGCTTGCGCTCCACAGGGGGAAGTTTCATTGTCAATTTTTTTTAAGCTCTAGAAACTTCTGAAATGTTCTACACTGGCACAGAACAACCCATTTGTGTGAATTCACAGAGGACCACTAGAAGAAACATGGCTACAGGTAGGTAACCTCTCTTTTTTGGATTTGGAGTTGGCAAATGTTTTAAGGAGGAATGGAGGTCACTGAAAAATTTTATTTTTATTTTAAATATTTATTTGCTGCTTTTCTGCCAAAGAATCCAATGCAGCTAACAGCGTTTAAAAGAAACAAAGTTAAAAGCCAAATAATAAATTATGATAATATATTAAAAACTATCATATTAAAACTCATGTGAACAATATAAAAAACACATGTAAAACAGAAGAAATCAAGAAACATCAAAGATTCCAGTACATTGTTAATTTTATTAAGCACAGTATAGTTAACTTTCATCCTCAGAGACCATGAAACTTGTTTATTTTCTGCACAGACATTTTCAAACTACAGTGGTGCCTTGCAAGATGATTTTAATTCATTCTGCAGAAATCATTGTCTTGTGAAAAAATTGTCTATGCATCGGTCTCAAAAAAAAGTCTTGTGAAGCATCGGTCTTTAAAAAAAAGTCTTGCGAAGCATTGGTCTCAAAAAAATAGTCTTGCAAAGCACGGTCATAGGAAAAAAGTCTTGCAAGGAACCATAGTGATCGCAAAAACCAATCGTCTTGCAGGTTTTACTCCCACGAGGCAATTGTCTAGCGAAGCACCACTGTATTTGATAAGTGCACTTTCAGTGTGGTCCTGTACTTGACTGTTCAAAAGCATATTCTGTTGAGTTCAGTAGGGCCTGTTTCCAGGACAAGTGGATGAAGGGTTGCAAATGTTATCAGAAGAAGAAACTCATTTAATTACTCCTGAGAAATAATTGCTTACCTGAAATTGCATTATTTCTTAATAAAGTTGTAGGTTTCTGAGCATCATTGAGGTCTTCTCTTCATTTCCTATAGTTTTGCCCCTCCCTATAAAGCTCTTTTCAGTAGCTGGGAAATTGCATAGAAAAATACTTTCTGGCTGATCCTACTTGGAAGTTGCCATTACAGGCCATTCTATTCTGTTCAAGCTGGTTTGTGGCTTTAAATGATTAGAAGAGCATAATTTGAAGGGTCTGATTTTTAAAATATTGCTCTGATGTGTGTTCTTCACATCCTTCTGGTTTTGCCATCAGTTTTTATTATCAGGAGCCTGTTCTGTTCTTTTCATTCTGGCTTTTATCTGGTCCTCAGTTTGTGCCATTTTTGGTTGCTCCTAATTGCATAGCTGCTAATTTTAAAAAACGGCAATATATATTTCCATCTGCATTTCTTTTTACTTTTTCTGTATTTCCCCCCACAATGACAGGTGAAATTGGTGAACATTAGAAATGATGACATAACAGATGGGAATCCCAAGTTGACTTTGGGATTGATATGGACCATAATTTTGCACTTTCAGGTAAGGTGGCTTATTACTTCCGGGATACATAGAACATGACACTGTTTTTCTGTGATGGACAATGATTATGTGTGTGCTTTTCCGTCCTAAGGTGTAGTAATTTAATATGGGAGGCAGACTATTCAAAATTTATGTGGTTACAAATGGGAGGTTATATATTGCATTTAATTCATGAATTCTGTTTAGGACTGTCTCTTTTCTTTATTATGAAATTGTAATGATAACCTGTATATTTACTCACATCAGTAGCCTCAAGCACAGATTGGTAGGAATCTTACTGGTGCTTACATAAGATTTGGGTAAGCTGTTACTGTTTGTTGCAGGTAATTGACAAGGTGCCATGGCATGTGGTGGTTGTGCAATCAGACACATGATAAACAAATGTCATAGCACCTCATCAGTGTACTATTAACTGCAGTTAGCTCCAGCAAATTACATGAACCTTACATGAACACAATTAAGATTCTAGGCCAGCGATGGTGAACCTATGGCACGCATGCCACAGCTGGCACGCGGAGCCCTTTCTGCTGGCACACAAGCCATAGGTTGCCAGATCGCTAACTCCCCCCCCCCCCCGCGCAGCCAAACCTCAGGAGGTGGCTGCAGCCGGTCCTGGCTGGCGCTTTGGCAGGTGAATCACGAGCAACTGCTGCTGGCCGCGGAGGGGCCTTGAGGCCCCTCTGTGCTGGGATTCCCCCTTCCGCTGCTGCCTCCGGTTCTGGGTTCCCCGGGGCCGCTGCAACACCGGTGCTGTTTTTTGTCCCCCCCCCCCAGTTTGGGCATGCGAGCCCAAAAAGGTTCACCACCACTGTTCTAGGCATTATATTTAATTTGACACCTCAATTCCTATAATGAATATTGATGTGGGAGCGGATCAGTCTCTTTGATTACAATGGGAAAGTTAAACTAGTGCTTCGTATGGTCCCTTTGGAGATTTGGAAAAATGATTATCTTTGTTTCATTTTTTTGAATTGTTAAAACCAGAGCATTCAACCTAAACTGCTTTTGTCAAGGTTTTGTAATGTTTACGTAGTACTGACTTGAAACCCTGAAGGCCAACTCAGTGGATCTCTTTTACTTCAGTCAATAAAGTCCTGCTTCACTCAACACAAGGAGTTTGTAGTACAGTGTGTTATTCTGACTTTATTAGAATGTTAATTATATTAAACATGTTTTAAATGAAGTGTTATTTTCTTGTTGAACACATTGGTAGTGTCAGTCATACAAAATCACTCTAGAGGGCACTAGAATGATTGCACTCAATATATTAACAGAATTATGTGAAGCCTCCTTCTGATTCTTATGTTCTGTGGTCTTAATTGGTTCTCAGCTTTAGTGCCTCAAAGCTGCAGTTTGTTTGCAAACATTTTTGCCTAGATGATCCTTAATCCTGATTTACCATAACCACACCATTGTTAGGAAACGGTGCGGAATTTTAAATACTGTATTTATCTGCTATTTAGGCCATGTTGTTTGTGTTTTATTTTATTTTTATAAATTTCTGAAACAGCATCTAAATATAGTAGTTATATACAGAGGCCAAACAGGAATCATTAGATGTATAAATAAAATATAGTAAACCAGTCAATAATCAGTAAAAACACATTATTGATATTGTTTTCTTGCTATTGTCTTTGGTCTTCATTGGAATGGCTGTTATGCTTATCTGATCCCACATGTATATTGAGGTGATGAAATATTTTGTTACCTCTGTTTTGAAGTTCTAGGCATAACATAGGTGCTTTCAGTGTGCTGGGCAAGGCCAGTTAATGTTGCTTATGAATTAAGTTCCTATGAGCTCATTCATGTGTATGTGTGATGGAGTTGCCTTGGGTTCAGCAGCCCATCTGGTCCCACCCCACACGCCCAGAGGAGTCTGGGAGAGAGTGAGTCTGCTGGGCCCCTTGGTGATGGGGATGTGCTGCCACAAATGGAGGAAGGGCCACTGCCTGATGTGGGAGAGCTGGAGGAGGGAGTGACAGCGAGAATAAAAGAGTGGGAGTTGCACAGCTCAGGGTCATTGACAACCATCTCAGATGAAAAGGAGTTGTGGTAGGAGGAGGTTGAGCACTGGGACCTAATTATCTGTGCCTCCACAGAGGTGCAAACAGGGATAGAGGACAAGGGAAGCCACCTCCTCCCGCCTAGCCTGTTCAACCGTGGAAGGGGTTGGGGATCTGAGACTCTGGCAATACAGTTCCCAGCTGACCCAGCCTCACCTCAGCCTTGGTGTCCTATTTGCCCAATGGGAACCCCAACCCAGGTTTGGTGCTGGGAATGCAAGTGGCAACAGACGTGGCAAAGGAGGCTCTGGGAGGGGCAGCATTGTGGAACCTCGTTGCTATCACCCATCTTTACCAGCCCTCCATAAAAGGACTGTGTCCCAAGTCAGTTCTTGCACTTCCCACCTGCTTCTTTGGACCTGGACTTTCAGGGACCCCAGTGAAGTCAGCTTTGGGTCCCAGCCAGAATGACTGTGCTCAGGGGGTTAGTGCCAGTAACTCAAACCTTACAGAATAAAAGGGAAGGGGCAATCACGGCTGACTGTGTGTCTTTAATAACAACTGCTGTGAGTGACCAAACCAGACAGGAACCCAGAGGATTTCTGCCAGGGACTCCTCAGATGCCAAGCCACGGGGAATGGAGACTGGCAGGACTCACAGTACACTACAGAATTGTACTTTTTCTTTCAATGCTTCTAAGGAAATGTACATAAGGCACTTCCATGTCATATACTTTAAGCAACTTTTAGAATCTGAATGTTTCACTTCTGTACAGCATGATTTTTCTGCTGTTCTTGTTTCTACAAAATATTTGAACTATTGTTGAATTGTGGACATTTTAAATTTCTGAGCTATGGAATGCCTCCCAAGATGGTGTATTTGACTTCCTTTATCCTTATTTTATGATGAACAGCAAAACCCTGTGTGTTTCAGGGTTTTCATTTGGTTTTTGTATAAACTCGAGATTGCTTTTAGTCCATTTTACTTGTAAATTTTTAATGAACTTTAGATTTTCCAGCATTCTGATGCTCCCTCCCCCCCATAAATAAATAGTTGATGATAAACTGGGAATCCCTGATGAAAAGGTAATGAAAGTCAGTGTGATGTTGTGGATAGAGCTCTAGATTTGGGCTCAGGAGACCTGTATTCAAATCCCCATTTGGCCCTGGAAACTCATTGGGAAATGTCAAATGTAAACCACTCATTGAACATCTCACATACTTCAGAAACCCTGTTAATGTTGCCATAAGTTGAAATGGATAAACAATAAATAAATGCACATAGGAGTGCTTGTATTTGCCCCACACTGCTTCTGGTTATGAGATGCATCAACGCTGTGTTGTCTTTTCACTGATTGAGCACAGTTTTCCCACACACACAACTGCCAGCTTTCATTTATGTACTTCTTCATAGCAAGACATGTTTTTATTGCAAGTATTATACTTTATGCAGAAATCTGTACAGTATTGTATCTACAGTACTTGTGAGTGGATGTAGGTGTAAGCCAGTAGTTCTTCCACATTTCCAGTGTTCTTCCTTGAGATGTGAGTGATGGTTATCTTAGTGAAGCATTCAAGTACCATGTGGAGGGAAGCTTTTTTGATCACAGCTTTGTATCTAATTGATTGAGAATAAGGAAATGAATCTGTAAAGCAAGACATACTAGCCTGCCACCCTTCAGAAACGTTTTATCATAGAAAGAGAAACACTGTGACGGACAAAGGGTTTCACAGAGGTGTGGAGCTCTTTAGCCTCTGTTGGAGCTGGTTTCTAGTCCTGTAGCAGCATGTAACTTGAATAGGGACATCTTCCTTTCAAGCGTACCTTTTGACTTTCTGCAGGCATTTAATTCTGTTTCCAAGGTGATAATGATTTAAAAGAGGCAGGCAAAAGGTCAATGACTGATCCTAGATCTAAACATGGAGTTACTTAATGTATGGAATCTATTCCTTCGCTGTGGGAGGTGAAAAGCTTCTGTTTCCCTTGTGGTCCCTCATATTAAATATATCATTGGCTGTCATTTACAAAAGGCAGCCTTTGAAGGCATCAATATCTATTTCTGTACCTATAGATCAGGCTTGTCCAACCCGCAGCCCAAGGGCCGCATGTGGCCCAGGTCAGCTCGTAATGCGGCCCAGTGCAATTTTTTACTTTTAAAGAAATTCCAAAGTTTCAAGTCACACTGCCGGCGCTTGCGGCCGGAATGTGGCCGGGGCATGTCACAACAGTAGAGGGGGAGAGAGGGAAGGAAGGAAGGAGTGGGAGGGGAGGGGACAGGGGGCTGCGTGACTGTATTGCGCCATCCCCGTCAATAGGTGGACCCCTTCCCGGCCCCATTAAGCCACTGGAGTCGAATCTGGCAGCCTCTGCTGTCTGAGATCGCAGCTGCCGGTAAGCTTGGAGCTTACCGGCAGCTTGCAGCGGGGGGGGGGGGGAGGACGGCTAGGGCTGCCCCCCCCATGCGGCCCAAACCAAATGTATGTGCAGCCCAAACCAAATTTTCACCTTCTCCTGTGGCCCAGGTATAGATAATCTCCCCCCCCCAACATCTTTTTTAAAAGCCCCATATCGCTGCTATGTCTGCCTGTTATGCATACAGGTTTTGATAGCTAGACTTAGTTTTTCTACTAAATCTTGAATCACATTTATGATTTGGTTATTTTGCAGTCTTACAGTCTTTAGGAATTGGAGCTATACGATTTATGTTATATTTTGATTCTGTATGTATTTTGTGTAGCGTTGGGCAAATTGCACAGTCCCAGGGTGCCCCCCAGAAGAAGGGGCCCCCCACTTCTGAGTACTCTCTATTTTTCAATACCCTAGAAAGCGTCACCATAAATCAGCCGCCTAGAGTGGTCGAAATGACTAGATAGGCGGGGTATAAATACAATAAATAAATAAATAAAATAAATAAAAATCAAGCACATACTTTTATTGCTGTATTTTGTACTTTTTGTGTAAGGAATGACATCTTATAAAACAGCTTTCTCAGTTGGT